TGAAAACAGTTAAATACTTCTCAAAAATTATTTCTCCTTTTATCCAAGAGGACACAAGAATTGCAGACAAAGCTAAATCCATAGAAATGCAGGTTAATATCCAGTTCCTAAAAACATGACTAGCTTCAGTCAATGTAACTAGCTTCAGTCAAAATGTGATGTGGATGACAGAGCTGTGTGCAGGTTGTATCTGATGTATGTGAACCATGCTTTGCAGGGCAGGAGGAGGACATGGGAGAGAATCCAAAGTAAGCCTCTCAGTGTTGCTCAGGAACCTGGCATGTGTCCTGGATGGTGTCTGCCTTCACATTCCTCTTTCATCTCTTTTTCATGAGAGGATAAGCTGTTTTGAACAGCACAAAAGGCACTGTGGTCCTGTGGTGGGTTTGAAGAGAGAGCCCAAGGAGGGATGTTTTCAGGTGGCCATCCCAGTGGCAGCTTCCCTGAAATGTGACTGAGTGATGGTGCAGTCTGCTTCATCCACTCCAGAATTAATGAATGGTGAAGGAGCACTGCAAATAAAACACAGAAGGAAACCCAAGGATACTTTAAATTGGGTTCAATTTTATCCACTTACTAAGTTGAATCATTCTTAGCACACAAATGTGCTTGCATTTAGAACTCACTTAAATTTATTTGTGGTTGTGACCATGGGTTTCAAGGAACTAAGAAAAGCAGCTTACACCATGCAGTTAGGGTTTCATACAATGTATGAAAAGCACCCCGCAAAAGAGAAGTCTCAGCATGAATATGGCCTAATTCCTTTGTTTCCTGTAAGAAATCTGTAAAAGCCGGTGATCAGTAAGCTGATTGGATCTGATGAGCCTTCAGGATAAACCTGAGGCCACTGATGACTTGATTGAATAGCCCCATCACTGTACATCAGTGGTATTTGGAGAATTTATTTTGCTTTTGCCTTTTAAGTCACTTAAGTGGCTTAAGTTAAGTTGTTTCTCTGATGCTCTCTGTAGACAGTGAGGAGCCTGAATCTTTGGGAAACCTTCCAGCCCTGTCCTTCATTCTGCTTTTCTACACACACATCTAATGGCCTTATCCCCTGATAGAACAGATAGTTTGTGGATGAGCCTTGAAGCTATTTCCTATTTAACTCTGAAAAACTTTTTGAGGGATAAGGAAATATGGAGAACACAAGAGTGAAGCTATTACGTGTGTATGTGTGACAACTTTAAAAATCCAGCTGTATAGTATATAAAGTATGTTAAAAGTATATTAAAAGTGTATAAAGTATATAAAGCAAACTTTCTTCAGAAAGTTGTGTTCCTTCTTCCCCTAATGAGAAGTATCCACTTTGCCTTTTCTCTCAACTCTTCATTGACAGCAACCAAGCTGTCATTTTCCCTCATATGCACAGAGAGTGAGAGCCTCCAGTCCAGAACCCAGGGTGCCTTACTTCAGCACAAAAAAAAGGAGAGTAAGGGGAGGCTGAGGAATCCTGTCACAGAATAAATAAGAGCTCATCACGTAGTCTGCGCAATGCTAAACATAAGGGAAGTTTCCTGTAGTTCACTGAGACTTTGAGGCTATGCAAAAATTTGGTCTAATAATCTTCAGAACAGAAGTATAGCAGCCATTTCAGGTTGAGAATATTACCCTACTGTTGGTTTTGTATGGTGCAAACAAATAACCATGTCCTGAGAGAGGAGTCATTGTATTCAGAAGGTATTTATTTTTGCTCTGAGAATCTTTAAACATGCACTGTTTATCTCTTAAACTGCAAGTGCATCTCTCCTTCTCAGCTAAAAATTTTCCACGTGACATTGTCATTTAGCACTTCCAACACTGTTGGTAATACAGTACATCTGTCTTGAGCAGAATTAAAATTTGGTTTTACACCTCAGTCCCCTCTTAAATCTTTAACAATAACAAAATTAAAAAGTCTGTGCAGAATACAAATGTATTTCTATTTTCTAAACATTCAAGATGTTTCATGGCTCCCAAAAAACCCAGCACGAGAGCAAGAACCTTGTCAAGAGATAATAAAGCACCCATCTTGAATTAATTCTGATCTAATCAAATCAAATTTGATCTGATCTAATGTAATCTCATGTTTGTCCAACCAGTAGGACTCTGTTATCTGCAGACATTATGCCCACACAATGGACTGGGAAGTTACTCCCTGCTTTAGACATGGATATTTTAATAGTTGGGCCGGTTAGTCCTCAAATTGTTCTGGTTTCATGGGATTATGCCATGGAAAGGGAGTCAGATTGATCTAGCACTGATATGAAGTGTTTGTATCATGTCTAGAAGCAGCAAGTGTGGTTCTTTTAGGTGATCTGCTCCTCTGCAGAAAGTGAGAGTAATTTTGACAGTAATAGATAGCTAGGCTAGTCTAAGAAAAATAGTAAGGGGAGGCAATTTCTGTTACTAGCTCAAGTGATAGTTGGGAAAAAGGGATAACCTTTCAAATTATCAAATTATTTGCTATTTCAATTTCAAATTATTTTCTTTAAAGTCTATTCTTTCTAGCTGTCTTAACATTATTTATCCCTGGAGAGCTTTCCTTGTTGTTGTATTTTTCAGTGCTTTCTCCATTTCCTCATCTCTAAAGAGCTGACAAGTCACTGAGAGATGTCAAATCACTGGGGGGACATGAGAGACCTGCAGGGACACCATCTTCATGCTGAAAGCAGGCAGGTTCTGATTAAATACTGTGTGGATATCATGATGACTCCCACACATATGCTGCAAAGCTGTAGGAGCCATCCAGAGGACCTGCATTTCCTACTGGTCTTCCACTTTGCTATGGAAAAGCACAGAAAGAGGATTCTTCATCCCAGATTTTACCTGACTCGTAGCCAAGCATATGTGTAAAGGCTCTGCTCAGTCTTTGTGAAGACTTTGCTGACCCAAACCTATGGAGTCCTAATCCTTCTGTGCAATAACGTAAGCAAAGATCTTCAGCACGTGTTGCAGTCTGTGCAGACGCCTTGTCTGCGTCCATCTGAGTCAAAGAACAGCGGCAGGGAAAATCCCTGGGACGGGAACTCGGTCATCTGTGCTGCTACCTGGTCCAAGCAGGCAGCAGCCCTCCCAGCGGGTCGCAGGCAGTGCTTGGGAGCCAGCACGGGCCATTCCCAGTGACCAGACCGGAGGCAGGTTTTGGAAAAGGAGAGCAGCCGGTAGCATAGACACAAGCCATACTGTGCTGGCTGGCCTCAGTGACCAAAAGCAGTCCCCAGCAGGTTGAATTTAAAGCTGTATAGGTGCAGGTTTAATTTAAATCTGTACAGGTACGGCTTTAAAGCTGAAATGTCTTTGGGTGACAGTGGGATGGCAAATAGTGTCCTCATGCCAAATATTGATGAGTGTTTAATATACATTTTGGGCACATGCTGTGACCAGGGAAGATTGCCTACTGATGTTGTGTGAGAGCTCCTGATTCCTGCAGTGCTGTGGTGCGGGATGAGCACGACGGAGGAGAATCACAAGTGTAAAGTGCTTTAAAGATCACACTCCAGCAACTCTTACCAGAAAAATACTCTTGATTTGAAGTGTGATTTTTTTAAACAGCAGTTCTATTCTACCAAAAGCATTTTGTAGATGCAGTTACACTAAGGAAAAAGTAAAAGCAATGACCAGTACAGCTTCTTTAGTTTGGGGTGTCATTGTGAGCTGCACTGTCAGAAGCCAGATGCTATATGCAGAAGCAGCTCCTCGGGTGGAGGGCATAGCCAATGTTACCTGGTCTTCTTCTAGTGCAAATTTGTCCACTTTGCAGCACTACTGACTTTTTGGTTATAAGCCATTTTTACATCAATTCCCATGCATAGTTGTAAAGAGTTGTCTGTTCCAAACTGGTGTGAATTCCAGTGACCCTTCCTGCCAACAGCAGTGATGGGTATGGTCTGAGCATGCCGAGGTGTTGAGGAGGGCCTCCTGCATCTCCATACCTTATCTCATGACCATTGCCACTTGGCCACTTGGTGCTGTCCTTCTTCAGGGTGGATAGGACCAAATCCCTCACTAAGCCTGCCCCAGGGGGTCAGTTACTCTGAGTTTGCATTGCAACAAAATTACATTGCTTGATTTTTCACTTTAAACTCAGGAATAATAATTATTCTGAAATCTGCCTGGAGTGAAGACAGAGATAAACAAAGTTTAGAATACTTCCTAAAGAGAATTTAAGGCAGGCAGCTTAGAAGTCTCAATAAGATGCCTAACATCAAGTAGACTAATCCCTCTCCTTCTCCAAGAAAATCCTGTGTGCTGTGGAAGAACTTTTGGAAATGCACTATATGTAGTATAAGAAAAGAAAAAGGCAGATCTCAAGTGACAATGACTGACTAGTAACATATTCTATTATGGATTGCATAAGTTTTACTGTGCAAGCATCATCCATCTGCACACTCCCTTGTGCCTCTGGTATTAGCAGTAGAAATTCACATGCACACACACATTTCTGGTACAAAGCACATGGAGCTTAAGAGGAAAACTTGTCTGTAAGCAAATTGAGCAGTGTTTGGATTGAACATTAATGGTGCTGTAAGGCCATCAGTAGATAGGTGGTCCCAGGAAGAAAAGTGACACATCCATTATGCTTCCTGTTTCTGAAAGGAGGAACTGATACCCCAGTGCCAACACACCACTGCCCCAAGCTGGCAAATGTCCCTGCACGTGCAGGAGATAGGGCACAGCAGGGAACTGCAGTGCTGGCACTTAGTGAATTGCATGTCAGCCTCCTCTCAGTGGGCTCTCCAAGACCATCAAGGGCACAGATAGAAGAGAGGGGATTTGCCACATACTGAGAGGTTGTGGGAGCAAAATGCAGCTTTTTTCCTCTGCAATAGACATGGTGTTTGAAAGGAGTCTCAGGAGCCAAGAGTAATGGGAACCATTACCTGTCCCATGTAAAATATTCATCCTGCAGTATAACAAAAGTTTTCAGAGAAGACTAGTTGAAATTATTTGGGCAGAATTCTTTTCTTCTACATGCTCTCTTTATAAGAGATGAAAGATTGGTCTGTGTTTGCTCTCAGGTCAGGACTCCACTATACCAGCAGACTGGCAGATTCCCAACAGAAAGATACTCCCCACCTTTGAGAACTTGTGATCTGAAAGTCAGACAAGAAGCTCTGAACAGAGACACAGGTCTGTACAACAGTCAGAGAAACTGTGGGGTGCTTGGTGCTCCATCAAAGAAGTATGATTTGGGGATAATATTGTTGCTTTTTGATGTAGTTTTATGGAAATGCATCTCAGCAAAGCACAGAGATGAACAATAAGGGTGAGTGAAGGGAATTAATTAGCCTGGTCACACTTGTGTGGGATGCAAGAGACAAATGTCCATGATGAAAGGGTTACAAACCCCAGGGCAGGTGTGTTGTGTGGTAGTCTCAAAGCTGGTCTGGATTTGTTTCTAGCATTTAATATGGCTTAAATGTATCCTTGAGCTGGGCATGATGAGGGAGGATTGCTCTTGAATAAGAGCCATCGGCTTTGACCTCAAGTCCTGGCCACAAAACCTGTAAATGAAACAGCAGATTAGAGAAGGCATAGCTACCACCCTAGTCCAAAGAAGGCTTCTTGGCTAGAAGCAGGTCATGCAGAGAACTGAACGAGCTGCGCAAGCCTCTGCGTGGCAGGGCTGCAGCACTGCAAGTACAGGGAGCTGTGCTTGCTCTCTCTTTTCCTGGCCATAAACACCTAAGGTCTGACTCTCCTGGCTCCTGCACTCTGCATAGTCATTAACACCTCTTTGAAGAGCTGGGTTAGTGGTGTAAAATACTACCATTTAGTAAGGCATCATTTTACCACCACTTCACAGTACTGTAAAATGAGAATCTAGGCTTTGGGGCAGCGGAAAAGTTGAGCCCCAAGTATTCACCTCATTAGAGAATCTTTTGCTGTGTGAATGGGAAATAACAGGGGCAATTCCATCTGTCCTGAAATTACACAGGCTGCCTGAGTTTGGTCTGGTTTTAATGGAAGACCAGAGCAATAGAATAGAAAAAATATTAAATTAATATGCAGAGCTAGTGGATTTGGAGCAGGGACTGAATTTTACTTCCCATTTTCCTGCTTTTAAGTAAAACTTCAAGCAACACCTTCTCTACTGTATTTAAAATAATTTCTATAAATATATAATAGAAGCACAAAGACGTGTATGTAGGTAGTGTAAATATATATTTGGAGATTATACTATTCTCAATATGTTTTCCAGGAAAATTCTGTTTGAAAAAAAATATTTTGCCCTTTCATGTGGATTCTCTCACCCTTTGCATGTATCTTGCCTGTGGAAGGTAAGTATTTCATTTTTTTTCTTTCTTAGTTAGTTTGGGTGCTTTTTTTTGTTAGGTTTTCTTTGCCATAGGCCCTGAAAACAATAATAACAGAATACTGTGGCAGTTGCTTCCGTGTGGCTTGCCAAAGGGGTGTTAAGAAATTTTTCTGGTTGTTCTGTATGTGTGAGCTGCAAAGAGGTGATAAATTGCTGAAGGAAATTAAAGCGGGGGTGGTGGGGTGGGGTGAGGGGGTTGGGAGTTGAAGCTCAAGTTTTGTACTCTTCTGATTTGGGTAGTCTGGATTATAAAATGGTTTTGTTAGAAATCAAAAGTTTAGTTGCTCTAAACCCAGGGGTGCTGCAAAGACAGATTAATAGATTAAAAATATCATGCAGCCTCTGGTGCTTCCTGTGCTTGGTTTACTCAGGTGCTGGATAAAGAAACCACAATATATCAGAGAGGAGTAGTGGTAGTTGTGATACTTTGGACAAGCAATCATTTCTAATCCTGGTGATTCCCAGAGCAGGGCTCTGCCACCCTCCCCTTGCTGCGGTGTGGAGGCACCCAGCTCACGTGCCCATCCCATTAGATGCCAGCTCCTCCTGTGCCACTGCCTCGCTGACAGCAAAGGAGGTTGGCTGTCAGCTCAAAATTTGCTTCTTGGATTCCTTCAGGGCCATTTAGCCACTGCTGCCTCTCAGTGAATGATGCCTTGCTGTGAGTGGGAAGTTGTGGCTGCTAGCTGGTCCTAGCTGGTCACAGCTCAGCTGTTTGCTTTGCCCTACAATGGCCTCCGTGTGCCCACCCTTTCCAAAACGAAAGTCTTTTTCATGCATTTGGCTGTGCTGCTGGCATGAGTCCACGTGAAGAGGTTTTCTTTCCTTCCCTCCTTCCCCCAAGTTCAAGGTTGTTGCAGTTTTACCTTCAGCATCATCAGCTGAACACCAGTAATGCTGGCTCTTAGCTAGAACTTTGGGTCCAAACATTTCGCAATGTTCCATGAAGGAAGAGAAGTTTTATGGACTCTGGGTTTCAGATGGGAGCACCAAGACATGGGGCTGTGGCAGGCTGCTGCATTATTCAGCAACAGGCAAGGAAACTTGGTCAGGATGGATGATGGCTCAGAACAGTGTGCGGCTTCACTGCTAGCCAGGATCTTCAGCTATGGCTACACCATCTTGCCTTAAACCTGCCTGAAACTTGCTTCAGCCCCAGCTCTGACACAGCCTGAGAGCTGCCCACAGCTCTGTGGGGTTGCACAGGCTGCTGCTGTCCTGCTCTGTTGCTCTGGCTGGCTCCTTGGCCACAGCAGCGCTAGGTTGAGGCCAGTATTTGCAGCCACACTTCACACGCCATCCCCTTTCTGCGAGCTGATTTTCTCCTTCCTCCGTGGCTGTAACCTGGGAGCCGGGGAGGTGTGAGTCAGCATCTGCTGCCTGCTTTTGGGGTGAGAGCTGAAAGGCAGGGGCAGTAACACCTGCAACACCCAGTGTGTCTCAGATGTCTGTAATTCTCAGAGGTCCAGCTTACACATGTTTTCTTGGACTTGCTGCAATGGTGAGGACCCAAGAGGAGAGTGTGATGTACCTGTTGAGATCAGCTGCAAGTAGAGATGCACAGGGCAGGGGCTTCCCAGGCTGATAGACAGGAGCTGCAGTGTTGATGTCCCAAGTCTGCCACTTCCTTGTGACACTATCACCACTTGAAAGAACCATATTTTTGTTCATTTGTAAGGCTGTGAAAATGCATACATGCACCAATACATATCTGGGATGAAGCTGAAGTGAGATATGAGTGCTCAGGTTCCTACAGATATGTGTGAGGCTCAGGCACTGCCTTACTTTTGTGCAGCCTGGCATGATGTATGGCAGCACTGCCCACCCAATGCTGCTGGGCGAGGGGTCCCAGCCACTTTGTACAGTACATGTAAAAGGATGTATTACCTGGCTGCAGAGAGGGTGCATGAAAGAGGAAAGGGTTGAGTCTGTCCTTTGTTTCTTGCATGCCTTGGCCCCATGAAACACCCCACAGTGCTGCCGCCTGCTGAGGAGTGGGCTGAAGGCCCTGTGTAGCAGACTTGTGATGACCAGCAGGTCAGGAATTGCCCATATAGAGTTTAGGCTCCAATGCAGAAGTAGGAATTCACTCCTTTCCTCCAGGAAAAGAGGTAAAAGTGGAGGATTCTCCCTTTAACCTATTTGCCGCAAACTCTTTTGTTAAAATAAATATTGCCATTTGAAGAAGAAAAGCAATCCTCAAGGCAAGCTTTCAAAGCCCTTCAAAGAAGCAATGACAAAATATTAAAACTGAAAGCAACAGCATATTGCCCTCAGATTGCATCCTTTGGCATTCACTTCTGAGCTATGGGACCCTGTGAAACACCAGCTGCTCTGGGGGAACCTGGTGGGACAGAGTGGGAATTTCTGTGAGCACATATGGTGGCATGCTGCTGCATCTGCTACACTAGCACTGGACACAATCATGGACAATTTTCAGGGGTCTGGGAAGATATTTCCAGCTGTAGAACATAATAAAAATAGAAGTTAAAAAAACATGATGATGTCCAATTGGATGTTGTGAGTTGTTCAGTGAGAGTTGTAAGCACACATGTAACCAGTCTACTGGCAAGCCAGAGCTTACGTCTTGCCCACAATGTGATTTACCTTACAGTTTCAAGCAGTAAACCAATATAACTAAAATTATGTTGTTCCTTCACAGAAAGAAGGAAGGGAAGTTTTGTTTTCTCAATAATATGTCAGGAATATTGCCCTCTGCCCTTGCACAGTGCAGTGTAAACTTGCTTGTAATTTGTGCTGGAAGAGGGAAGTCAACTCTCTTTCTCTGTTTTATTGTAAACTTACACTTAAAATCCTTTCCTGGCATTGATCCCAGCTTTGATATGCATTAGTAAACATTCATGACACCGACATTAATCCAGAGTGAGCTTATAGTCATTTGTTATATTAGACACTAAAAAATAGTCACCAGGCCATGATTTGATAGTGTTATCTCGACACCTTGTGTAGAGATGCAAGGCTGATTTGGTGACATATCATCCTTGACACATGACACATAGAGACCATGCTTCAATCAACACGCCGTGCCTCTGGGCAGTGTGGTGTTACAGCCTCTGCAGGGGAATGCCACTGCCTGCAACTAGTGGTGATGGCAGGACTGCAGAGACTGGGAAGCAAGAAACCCAGGCTGGTATTTGAAAATCAAATCCACCAAAATGTGACAAGTCTCCTGCATGTTAATGATGTTTCATTATTTGCAGATGTGTCTAAGCAAGACCCTGCTTTTCTTATACTTACTTATTCTGCAAATAAATTCACGAGTAATGATCTTAGTAGCTCACTTGGCCCTATATCTAGCCATAAACATATCATAATTTGTATAATTTCATTTCAATTCTGCCCTAAATAACTCTGTTTATCTAAATTCTAGTCATCCTGATTTATTTGAGCATCGTGTGCCCGTGTGATGCACCTGAAAATATAGGATGATTATGAGCAATGGGTTGCAAATGGAGTTGCATCACCAGTGGGGAGATGTGGTGGCCAATAAAATTTTCCAGCTGTGAAAAAAATAGAGTAATATCATTTGTTTAGAAGTGTAGTCAGGATGTGTTTTCTTAAACAGTAGCAATCTGGTTTTGCTGTGAGCAGGATCTGGCCTTAGCTGTCCATGGGCAAAGAAACAGCAAGTTTTATTGCCTCCCCACACTCAGGTCTGTCTTCTAAGAGGGAGAAGAAGCTGTGACAAACCTTTCCTGGTGGTAAGTGCAAGTGGTTGTGATGTGACAGCTGGCAGAAAATACAGGTGAGAGTGATTCTTTACACAAACCAGAGTTCATGTCCAAGCTCCTTCTCAATCCTGTGTTTTAGTGATGTGGATGTGCCTGCTGTGTGAAGTGAGTGCTGACTTTTGGCTGTACTAGTGGTAACAAAGGGTTACAGAAATGCTGAAACTCAAAAATACAAACATAAATACCAGGCCTCTGGCCCATCCACTGGGCATTTCTAATTGTCAGGTGAATGGATGAGAAGTGTTGTGATAAATGTCATGTATCTTTTAGGTTGTTACACAATGGTGATAAGGAAAAAAGGCAAGACAGAGAAAGGAGAAAGCTTGAGCTGCCTGTCTCTACTTGGGGAATAACAAGACCTTCATTAGAAATGCCTTTTAAAATGTTATCTGGAATTTATAAAATAGCAGACTTAGTATTGAAAAGACTGGGTTTTGAAGCATCACTGGTGAATATTATGTTGCTGCCAGGGCTCTGCATGCACCGACACTCATGATCAGTGGCAGCCAGGCAAATACACAGGTAAAAGCTGGATAAGAAAGTGCTCCCATGCTCAGCCCATGCCAGTTGCTGCTGTCAAAATGGCTTTCTGTCCTTGCAGGCAGCTATAGGCTTCAGTTTACAGTCCCTGATGTTTAATTGCCAAAATGAAAACTGTATATGTATGTAAATACTGGATTTTTCAGAATACCATTGCCAAGGGGCCAGAATACTAACATAAGGTGGGATTGATAGCAGTTTAATTTTCCAGGTTGCAAACTGTGGTGACAAAGGCTTGCATACAAGTCCCATCTCTCCTAATGCCTCCATGTACAGACATACAACAATAAACCTCCTAAATCACCCCATAGGGACTTGCAGGAGCTAACAAGTCCTTGAGGATTTCCAGTGCAATATTCAGGCAATAGAGTTTGCAGAAACAACATTGATCCTGCTAGGAGAGTTATATTAGGACTTTTGTCCTATCTTATTACTTTCTTTTATAAGAAAACTTGCACACATTATATAGTTTTTCTGCCTTTGTGGCTATTCTCACGTAGCCATTTCAAGGGAGGCTCTTCTAATGTCTCGTTTAATGTCTCTTGCTAACTCAGGGTGGCAAAAATGACCTCATGGCATGTCATTACCTCTGGTTATAGTTTGGTGTGTGTGTGTGCGGGCTTTGATTACGTAGAGAGACTAGTAAACGGCAGCAATTTTGCAAGCGCTGTGCTACTGTGTCCATGACGTGGGAGTTACTGTGGGTTATTGCTGAAATTTGCAGTGTCATGGGTAGTATGTAGGCATTCTTCAAAGCCTCGTGCACTCAGGAAAGTTTCAATGGTTTAACTTAAAATAAGTTTCACACTGGGGAAAACTACAAGTACTTGGTTTCAGTCTAAACGCAATTTGTTTTAATGTCATCTCTTGGGGGAGGATTATTTTTTTCTTTTTGTACCAAAATAAGTGGAACGAAATGAAAGGTGTGTGCCTACAAGCAAGGTGCTGGATGCCCTGGCACAGGTGTTGAGTCCCTCGATTTACATAGAGACATTGTTTTTCTTGAAAGCTTGTCAGTCAGTGTGGTCAGAGAAGAGTGCCAGACACATCCAGACACATTCTAACATCACAGTGTGAAGGATTTGTCTTCCGGAGCCAGAACTGAGGACACTGAGAAAGGAAGAGCCAAGAAGAGAGGATTCTTTTAGCTGTACCTAATTCTGAAGATGTACAAAAGCTCTTAGTCAAAGACTCTGATTGTCTATTTCCAGTTTGGGCACCTTAAATTAAACCTTCTTGTTTTTGTGCCCAAACTGTTTGTATTCCTTTTGCATAGCTCTCAGCCATGAAGCTTTGACATGGCAATACAATATTGCCAGGCTGCTGCTGCTGTGGCAAGAATGAGCCACACTAACAGGATGGACACATTTGTGAGGAAAGCCTCAAGTACTTCCCACATAGGTGACAGTTTATTCCCATGTCCAGCATTGTCTTAGCTGTAGTTTCAATGCTTCCCATTTAAGAAGATAAATTAATGGATGTGCAAAACATCAGACAGTGAGTTAAGGACTTCCACCCAATCAGACATTTGTACCTCTAAACTTTGATCTTGTGTTCAAGCCAGTGTCTTTGTAATATATATTTTAAAAATATATGGGCTAGCATCTTGCATCTTTTTTAATATTTTGAGAGTAATTCTACAACATACACAATAATTACTTTTCAGCAAGGTCCTAGACACATGACACATTTCTGAAAAATGAACACTTTTCACTGATGGCAAGTTAAAAAAAATAAAGCTGACTTATTACTTGAAGGAAAGAAAAGGCCATGAAACAGGTATTTTTACTCAGGAAAAGAGAAAATTTTTAGCTTTTAAATGTGCAGAGACACTAAATCAACTATCACAAATGTGTTCTGGTGATGCAGCCAACAACACTTAATTATCAGTTCTACAGGAAAATTAGGTGAGAAAATTACTTGTCTTTTTATATTTATTTTATTTATAAAAGAATCCAAAGACAATGACAATTCTCTCACTATAGAATGTTAGACAAAGATGGCTTGTCTGTCTTTTTCTTCTACCTTGGTGATACAGATTGATAAATCCCTGCAGTGTACACAATTTAATTTGTGTTACTCTTTTTCAAAGTTGGGGTTTTTTTCTGCAGTGTTGAAGGAAGCTGTTTTGGAAGAGATGAAGCAGGCTTATATTTTATAGGGTCTTAGATAAGAAATATTTGAGATATAGAGACAAGAACCCTATATGGTCTGACACATTGACCTTCTTTGCAATGTGTGTGCTATTATTTTTGTGTGTTGATATTATTTGCTTCTTTCTTTCTCATAAATAATTTGGTTCAGTAAGCAACATCTAGGAATGAAAATAGTGGTCATGTTAACATGACTTGGTGTGTCCTCTGACATCCCAGCCTGATTATTTCTTCCCATATAGGGGCAGAAATCATCAGCCACAGCTGGAGGGAACAGGAGGGCAGAGCCATGGATGGGATTCTAGAAATACCACAAGTCTTTTTTGTGGCTAAACATTTTGTACCACAAAATCACAGCCATGGAGCATGGAAAAAACAGGAGATGCTCAATGTTTTCAGGACTAGTGCTAATATTAATGATTTGATTTGGACTATGCTAACCCTGGAACACGCAAGAAAAATTCCACACTTTGAAGATGACTTAATATGTGATTAACTTTGTGTTGCAGCTCAGGCCTTAACTCCTTCATGCTTGGATGTATAGCAAAACAGGAGTCGGCACAGACACAGATTCTGTGTTTGGTCTGTGTTCAGTTCCATGTGGATGTAATCTCTTCTTAGATGGATGGAGGTCACCTAAAACCCCCTCCTTGGGGATGAATTATTTCATAGGTGTTTTTTTTTCTCCCAACAGCAAAGTGGACTGAAGCAGCACTTCCCCCTCTGGCTTCTTGGTCCTACCCTACAGCAGCTCCTAGTTATGACTGAGCAGGGCTTTTATCATCCAGGAGTCCATCGCCTCTAAGGGTAATCTTTACCTTGCTTTTGCTTTACTATATTTAAGCTGAATTTGTTTCTCCATTCACAAGTGGATGTTTCTTTCCAAAGCCTTTTTTAGAGGCACTGAGTTGATTATTGGTTTATTGCTACATTCCATTTGTCTTCAGCTGGCAGATTTCTTCCACTTAACAATAAAAAAGCTAATTATGTATAGATCATGTATAGGTGATAAGCAAAGTCTGCTGTTGTGTAAATTCCTTTTTACTGGAAAATCAGTAAGCAACTTGAAAACTCTGACCATCTGTATTACTTTCTGAGAAGCAGGTAAGGTGTAGCAAGGTAATCTGTAGATTAAAAGGCCAGGGAGTTGACTGACTTTAAAATTCCAGTTACAATAACCCATGTTAAAAGTGGTCTATGATGGAGATCCCTTCCCTTGGCCTGTTGCATGCGAATGTATCTCAGGATATGAATTCTTCTCAAGATGAGTTAAGGGAAGGTGGAAAAGCAGGAAAGCAAATAATTTTCTCAACATTAGAGTAAGAAATAAGTTATCAGGAACTAAACTGGTTTGGATTTTGTCTCTAGTACCCATCTGTCACCATGACCCAGTGTAGCTGCTACACATGAATATGGCAAGAGAAATCCTGGCTCAAAAAATCTTACCGCACATGTAGGATGGAAGACGAAAGAAAAGAGAAGGGTGATCTTGAGAGGGGACAGTCACCTATATCTCAGCAGTCAGCAAGTTTCCATCAAGTATATCATCCTACACCAGCAGCAACTGCCTGTTTGCCTGTTCACCAGTGAGAAGGGGAGAGTGCCCCTGGGAGAGTGTGGCATTTCAAGGCAAGAAGATCATAGGCAGTGTCCTTTCAGCAGTGGGTTTGGTTTTCCCTTGAGTTAAATAGGAATAGGTAGTGATCACATATTTTCCTGATCATTGTTTAATAAACATGCAAGCAAGGGTCTAGGCTGTTGGCATTGGTACCAGTTCTGGTGCTAGTGTGCCCAGCCAATTCCTTTATTTTCTAAGAGGGTTCATGCCATTGGAGCCAAGGAAAACATGTTCTCCTGGGACTCAGATCTAGCTGTGTGATGAAGAAAAATTTCTTCAAGGTTTATTTTCCCCTGGGAAATTAAGCATTGTATACCACAATTGCTGGCATATGGCTGCCTATCCATAGGAGCACTGAATCCAATCCCTGACTCAGCAAAGTACTGTAAGAAGGGTTTAGTTGTTAAAAACAGGTCTTAGGCACAGGTCTAAAGCTGGGCACATGCTTAGCCAAATCAAATTCATTTCACTTATGCACAGAAAAGTTAAAACACTGACATTTGTATTGTGACACAAAGCTAGCACTTTTCTTACATAAGTGCTGGATCAAAAAATGGTAATGAGCCTATTTTCCAGATTAATTAAATTTATTTTAGATGTGTGTTACTTTGTCTCTTCACCTTGCAGCTATCACTTGCAAAGAAACAAGGTACACAAAAATTGATTTACAAGACCAAGTGCACAATCCACATAGTGAAATAGGTCTTCTGGCTGTTATCTTTATTATTTGTATTGCATCACCTTGTTCTGACTGCAGGAGACAATAGCCATATACTTTGCAGTGGATGGTTAATGAACTGACAAACAATCAGTCAGATTTCTTTTCTTGGCTAATCATTTACAGATTTGTTAATGCTCTAATGTCAAAGTGTTTCTTTCCTGGTATGTCTCACTGTCTAGGAAAGAACTGCACTCCTTCTACCTGCCACCATGTAAATGTCCAATTCTTCTTTTTAATGCTAATGGTAGGTTGTGCCAGAAAACCCTACAACAACATTTTAACTCTTAAAAATCTGGTCTCCTTGATTGTTTAGGCTATTTGCTTCTTAATTACTTTGCAAATTTCTTTGCTCTTGCATTTAAAAAAAAAAAGATCTGAGATGTCATAGTGATACTTTGAAACCAGAGAAGTGCTTGTAGGTGTCATTCTATGCTTTCAGACATCACCACCTTTCTTTTGGAGGTTTAGAAATTGGTATGCATATACCAAACACCCTTTTGCATCAACCTCATTAGAGCAAATAAACATTTCACTTTAAACATCAATGTTCCCAAATGGGGGGGTTGAAGATCCAGCCTGTTTATCTCTTTTAAAACAGGTGACTCCTTATTACCCTCTGAAAAACTGGAATACAAAGGAGTCTCTCATCTGTAGCTATTACAGCCTGTGATGCAGTGTAGTCAGGGTTTATTTTCTCTCTTCCTTTGGTGGCCACTTGGCCATCACATTCACACACACTCAAATATTCATGCAATCACACTAGTGTCTTAATATTTTCACTAATTTAATTTCTCTCCAGTTTGCATTCAGCATAGAAAATTCTTCAGACCCTTCACTGTGAACGTGGGGGACAAAGCAGCAGTGGCAGCTGGACAGACACCCCATCCATACACAGCCCCACTGGCTGAATCACCAGCAGGAGCTTTTACAGGATGTTTGTGGGCAGGAAAACATGGGTGCAGTGGGGCTGACTGAAGGACACAACACAAGGAAGAGCAAAGGCATGTAGTACTAGAACTAAAACAGAAGACTGAGGGTTTGTCTCTAGTTTGTCTCTTTTTTAAGCTAGGCTTAAAAAGCAAAAGTTTATCTCTGCATGTAAGAAAGAAGCATGGCTTGGTGAGTAGAGCAGCAAAGTCAGGCTGTGGTGAGAGTTTGTGATAGTCCCACTTCCTACCATTAACATGAGGGTTGTGCTTACCAAAATGGCCAGAACCAATGGCTCTGCAAGAGATTTGGCTGACAGGCACAGAAAACTACTAGGGATCTCTTCTGTAACTCATTACAGATTGTAACTACACTTCTTCAAAGTCACTCAGATAAAGAATTAAATGCCTGGATTAAAAAAAAAAAAACAATTTATCAAATTTTAAGTTCATTTTTAATATGACAGACTTTGAAAACATTGTGACCTACCCCAGCTTTTGTTGGTCTTCCAGAATTCCTTTTCTTGCCAAAATAACATATGCAAGAAGTGTAAGTAGGAAGAAGAGGGGAGACTTGTGCCCCTTCTCCTCCCTCACACTTGGAGCCAACAGCTGAGATTCAAATGCAAATGCCAGTATTCTCTAACTCTCCAGGAACTTTGGAGTCTTGGTGTCTTACACCTATGTGACAACTTAGGCTAAATTAAAAATCAAAGAGATTTCCCCTGGAGTAAGGTACTGCTTGTTATGAGTGAGGATATCATAATTGCAGCTGCCAAGAGGTTTATGAACTCCACTTGCTGAAGGAGGCTTTGGGACTCTGAAGCACCGAAGTCTGTATTTTCTGTCTGGAGTCATCCCAGCTGCTGCCCTCCCTGAGCCAGATGTGTAAAACCAACAAACATGCTGCAGATCCCATTTAAATGCTAATACGCGTCTCTCTTTTCTGTGAACTTGATCTGGGGGAATGAGAGTGTGCCCCTGCTCTCATCCTGCTGCTGTGATGGCGCCTAGGTAAAAAGAAAAACAGGTCCTGGGTGCAGGTGCCCTTTGCAAGGGTGCTGTGCAGTCTCCTTGTCACTTCTTGTCTGACTGGAGTGGCCTGATGTCAAAGTCAAGGTTTCAGCTGTAGCTGCCAGTCTGTGCACTTCAAAGCTTTGATTGTCCCCTGTTTTTCCCCACTGTCTTCTAAGCACGTGCCCACCCATTGTAGTAAGGTGGTAAAGAGGAGGGAAAACAGGCCTTAGGTAGCTTTCTTTAGCAACTATTGGATGGGACATTCAAAGTCAGTAACCAGAAACACAGAGGGAGTTTAATGGCAGAGGATTTTTTTTTCTTTGATCTCCACCTACTCTTCATCTTTATCTTTCCTCAGTACCTTAAATGACAGATTCTTCTGGAAGAATACATCATAACTCAGGATCACATCTATTTTTTTTGCTATATGTGAAATATCAAAATCAATTTTAAACCTTAATTAGGGCATAGAAAATTTACTGTAGCTCTCTTGGCTTGATTTAGTAATAGGAATCATGTTTGCATGCAATAGACAGAAAGGGAGAGAGGAAAACAAAAGTCTGTTTGAAAGGAGAATAGCCATGAAAACTTGATGGGAGAAACTCAGCAAGTGTGCTAAATTATGTGAAGAAGTTCAGCTTCACTTGGCCTGTGATGCATTGCTGTTTTTCAATACAAAGTGAGGTGGTTGAGGTGGTTGAGGTGGTTGTGGTTCTCTGTGCAGACAGAATGTTTTTTCCGGGTTTCACAACCTTTTAAAATCTACCATTTGACAGTGAAATGGTAATCTGAAATATAGAGAAAGGTTGGGGTTTGAGGTTTTTTTCATTTTTTTCAGGACTGTACAGAAGGAATGAACCTCCAAAGAAGGTTCTAGAGATCAGAGAGATCGAGGACCACATATTAATTGCAAAAAGAGAAATATGATTCTGTATATGATATTTCACAGGCAGAATTTATTAAGTTGTATATGGCTTTCTCCAGTTTGTAGTCAAAGGGAAAACTTCCTGTGGAATCAGTTTGCTATTGACTTACACTGCAACAGACATTTTTGATAGCAAACACATGTCAAGTGCTGACATTTTGCAGCTGGCATCACTTTCCCCTGGTGCAAAGGACACTAAAGAAGACGGTGGGCAAAGAATCCAGCCTGTGGACACTGAAGTTCAGCAAGTATAACCGTAACACCTCACTGGAGGTGTTTGATTCTGGCCCATGTTAAAGGTTGACACAGACGCATGATTTAGGAGACTCAAACCTCATGTAGAAAACTTTTATATAGGGGGTATGTGTATACATCAGTAGATAAGTCCAAACATCCATCTATCCTCCTTGGTAGTGGTACATATGCCACACTTTAACAAGGAATGCTTCCTGGGCTCCCGGCGTCACATGAATGTGCTTGGCAGCACCACCTTGAGTGTGTTTTACCTGGCCCTTTCCCATCTCCCCAGCAGCTTTTCTCAGTGTATTATCACTATATTTGCAATTTTCCTTGTTTTTCTGCAAGTAAACAGTGAGGTAGATGAGTTTTTTATACAGTGTGAAGTATTTTACCGTAAATATTTTTTTCTTCCACTGTCACATCTTGTGCCTACTTCTTTTCCATCTTCTCTCAAGCTCTCTGCAGTTACAAGTGCAGCACCTCCTCATTGTTACTCATACAGAAATGCCAGTGAGGGAAGGCTCCATGTACAAACACACACATGCGTACCCTTCTTTTTCCACATGGTAATTTCTGTATTAGCAACTGGTTCCAGATTTTTATCTACCACTTCTGAAATAATTTGAGTTGTATGTTTTAAAGAGAGAAAGGAGTTGTATGTTTTAAAGAGAGAAGTTGCAAGTTCTAGAAAGGTGTGCTTTGTGCAGGAGAAATTACTCTCAGTCTATGCTGCAGGGATTATTTTTCAGTTCTCACAGGAAAAAGATATTGATTCTGAGATTGTCTTATTTCATGAGAACCTCTTCATTTAAAAGGACACCATGGTTTGCTTGTTAATTCACTGACTGAAACTTAAGTAAGCAGAGGCTAATGTCTTTTAACTGGTTTAATTAGCAACGATTACTTGTCTAGAGATAAGGTATTTCCAGTCAAAAGCCATGTCCTTCAACTCCAGATCAGCTGAGAATAGTTCAAATTAGTTTTAGGGCAGGGTCAAAGACCAGAATTTTAGGGGTTTGAAGTTTTTTAACTGAGCAGATCAACACATATCTGCCTATCTTCTGGAGAATACACATCCAAGTGAAAAGGGGGAGGCTGGGATTTCTATCTGCATGGAAATGGATTGTTTGGGGGCTTTTAACAAATGAGTTAATGAGGTGGCACTGAAGCACACATCTGTCCTTCTCTGGGAAAGCTGAAGTCCAACACATGGTCCACTTGGAAGAAGTCTAACACATGGTCCACTTGACAGCTCAACTCAGAGGGGACTGTCTGGGCCAATCAAACCTCCAGTGGGCAGCACCACTGGGGGAGGACTCATTTAAAACAAAAAAAAGGTAAAAGTGTAAATCCTCCCTCTGATTGGATTTGTTTTGGGGGTTTTATGGGTTTTGGGGTTTTTTTGTTTTGTTTTTTTTTTTGTTTGTTTGTTTTTTTGGGTTTTGGTGCCTCCCAAGGCACTCCTCCATCCCTAGGACACAGTGAGTTAAAAATGCCCAGGGGCATTGCACTGCAGCCTGCACTGGCTGAAGGCTTCACATCAGGAAAGCCAGCCTCACTTGTCATCAGAGCAGCTGAGCTACACGCAGCCAGGGATGGTTTGGATGGATGAAGACTGTGTAGCTCTGGGCTTCAGCTGTATCAGCAAGCTCCATGCTGCCTGAACTTCTGTAGAAACTAAGTCCCATGGCTCTGTCTCTGCCTCTCTCTCCTTTCCTCACAGGGCCTTGCCAACACAGGGAAAGGAGACAGGAACCTTGGCTTCCCAAGATACTACACAGCCTTCACACTCTGCTCTGGTGTTGATCTCAAGGCTCAGGGTGCACAAATATTTTTACCTCCTGCAAGAGATGTTTCTGGAAATGTTCCTTCAATAGATGATCTTGAATGCAAGGCAAAGTTTGTACTGAACTGTATAGCTATGAACCAAGAAAAGCAGGGACAAAGACAAAGATTCTTTTACCCTCTTCTTGTGCTGATTATGGTTTATTGGCTTGCAAAGAGTCCAAAGGGATGGCTAGAATTTGCCCTGCTATTTTGTAAGTATTTAGGTCCATAGCTTTAAAAGTCATGAGGCACCCAGCTTCTGTCAACTTAGGATTTGACTAAAATAGTTTTTGAAGTTTGGTGCTGGATGACTTTGTAGATTTACATGCTCTGTTATTCTGTTGTCCTCCCATTCTCCCTAGCAGCCCTGATCGTGGTGTGTTTGCTGCCTCATGGGTCAGGAAAGAGGCTCTGCCATGATCACATTCCTCCTATGATGCCAAGCCTTGCAAGACCACAGGTCCATTTCTGTATCTTGCAGAGGTGAGAGTGGTGAACAGGTGGGTATTGGTAAACTGGAGTCTTTAATGGGCCATCCACAACTTCACCTGGCCAGCAACTAGCCTCTAAAGTAGTCCTTGTTTAAGGGAGGAAAAAAAATATGCTTCTGTTTCATTCACCCAGGTGAAGGGATGGGTAGTTCACTCTCATCTGTTTGAGTCCAGCAACCACAACCACGTGAGAGCACAGATTCTGAATTTTTCAGTGCAGCATCTTTGTCTTGATCACTGTAAATTGTCTGAACCTATCATCCTGAAACGCCTCCCTCAGTGTGGCTGTGCTTTGTCTGGGTATGTGTGGCCCCAAGAAGCCAGTCTGAGAGTCAAGCATCTAAGGACCTTATAATAACTTCTAGACATTTCTTTTTACACTGAAAAATGAAATGGCATCCCAGACATTTCCTGGCCTTTTGTCCATCTCTATTTGAAAAACACATACAAACTTTTACCTCCTTTCCCCCCAGTTGTATTAGACAAAGCCAGAGACAAATAACCATGAGCAAAAGGGGCAGGCTACAGCTCTGCAGCCACTTCTCCTCACCACAAGCTCAATCTCTGGAGCAATCTCAGATTGAATTTAGTCCCTGAATGCAAACCCTCGGGGTTGTGCTGAGGATGCTGGAGATGCAGTGACCCGTTTTCACGTACAGGTCTGAGTTTATGGACAGAGGGGCATTCAACACATTCCTACAGCAAAAGGAGAGGAGCCCTTTTTTCATCTCTAGTTTCAAATTTGGCTTGACCATTGTCTGATGGAAGCCGGGCCCTGGGCAGGGAAGTGAATACTCTAACAAGTGGCTTGTTAGTGAGGAATGTCCTGCAGTAAGTACGGAGCAGCCTTGTCACTTCTCAGCCAATCCTCAGAGGACAATAAGAAAGGAGGACAAAATGAGTGCAGCCCTCCTGGGCCTCCCCTTAAGAGTTTAAAAGCAAAATATTGATTTTGAGTTACCCTGCTTCAACTCAGCTTCACTCTCCTGATATTTTTATTCCCTTGTAGGTTTCTGACTCCATTCGTTTTCTAAACAAATCACTGGTGAAATTGTGGTGTGTCCATGTAACATTCCTGCACCTAAAAATATGGTCAATTGACACCTTGAAGGTTTCCAGGCAACTCTAACCATTTGTGACATCTTTAGCTGCATCTCCAGTATGTTCAAAACAGATGAAGTGAATGAATTGATTTTAGCTGCATAAAACCCTTGACAAAAATCTCTTTGTGGCCATCCAGTTAGTCTCTTGGTGATTTGTAGAGTATTTGCTTATGCCGTGAACTTGATCCTTCCCACCTCTCTGTTTGTTTTCCGTGGGTTCCCTGCTCCTGAATGCACTGCAGTTGCCCTCCCCAGAGCTGGAGGAAGAGCCAGTCAAACAATGCTGGACCTACAGCCCACTATGTCATCAGTTCAGACCTGAACACTATATATGCCAAATGTACCAGATGAAAAATTGTGGCAACCAATATTAGTTGCTTTAAATTATTGCCAGACCCAAACTGCCTAATAAAATCAGCAGACTTGTATAACTTGATTCAAAGTCCCAGCAAGGCCAAAATGATTTTTCAACTTGCTTAAGGAGATAGTGGATAGAACAACACAGCAAAAAACTTTTCCTTTGTCCCCAGAAAAAAAATAAAATTAACATTTGCATGTAATGAAACATGCAGTAGGCCAGGAATAAATTAAGTGCAGAATCTTAGCTCCTTTAATCAAATAATTTGACATTTATGTGTGTGGTCGAAAAGAAATTCTTTTAAAGACATATGGTCTTTTCATTGTATGCTATTTTGGATCAAGTTCCATTGTATTAACAAACATAGGGATAAATTGCTGATGGGCTCGATTGTTTTGGGTTTTTAAAGGTGACTCCAACCCTGGGGATTCAGGCTTCTCCAAGTACAATGCACAGTAACCACCCATGATAAGTAACAATAGACAATAATTGCAGTACTTAACATTTGATGTCTCAGATCTCCCTGACAAAAATTAAGAAGGAATCAGAGACAGGAATTGGAAACACTGCTGGGAAGACTGGAGTGCTGATAATAACACATCTTTCAAGAAGTGCAAGATATTACTGATTAACTACAGAAAGCCTTATCTGAGTTCAAGCAAACCAGCAATCACTCCTTTTGGCCGTAAGAGTGTGCAGCGAGGTGTGAGCAGGACACCGAGGTCTGGCTTTGGCAAAGCATTGAGTACATCCAGCCGAATTATACCCTTACCTGGTGCCTTTGCCTGGCTAAACTGGTAAGCACCTCTGAATGCCTCTAACCTCCCTTCTCTGCAACACAAGCTGTAGGATTTGTTTAGTCAGTCCTGTATAAACCACAGTCTTTCTGCTTGAGCAAGAGCATTTTCTAAAGGAAAATATCAGATCAGAAGGAAGAGTGACAAAGTATCTGGTAAGCTGCTCTTCTAACATTAAAATATTTTTTTTTATCAACAAAGCTGCTTCTCTAAAATATATTTAATCAGAGGAGTTGAGGTGATGCAACTGAGCTGATCTCTGCCATCAACAGGAAGATGTCCTATTTCCTTCTGCTCATCCCTTCTCTTCTCTGCTCCTCAGACCCTGCTGTGACTCAACTCAGCAAAATGTTAACACAGAGTAAATCATGATTTTCATGTGAATGGCCACAGGAAAATCATACTGATGATTCTTCATAAGCTGAGTGAATTAAAGGGCCACATGAACAACCAGGAATTTAGTTTGGGAAGGAGTCTTTGAGACAAAAACAGTGAAATGGAAACATGGGGTGAAGGAGGAATGAGGTCACCACTTGAGACAAAAATTCATCAACTTCAGCTCTTTTGGGGCTTCATTTTTGGGGAAAAAAGGCTACTTGCATGATGTACAAAAACATGCTGGGACTTGTATGTTCTGGAGGTAGCGATACCACTATGAAAAGGCTACATCCTCTGCCACTGGTCATGATATCCATATTCCTGTTTCCTGATTGCATAAAAGTAGGCAAGACCTTGGGCTCTTCACACTGCAGGTATGCAGCTGTTGGCTGAGACCCAGCATGAGTGAGAGCTGCTGGAGTCTTTGCTGTGCCCACAATGACTCTGCACTTTTCGCCTGTACTGTGGCTGTCCCATGGCATATGGGGACATGTGGGCTTTGTGACACTGGTGCATGACCACCTGGCCAGCTGAAAGTGTATTGGGAGTGAGAGAAACACCAGCCATCCATGATTCATTCTGCATTGAAGAGGTGACACTGGATTCCCCCTGGCCTGATGGCACCAGCTCAGGCTGGGGAAGACCTGGCACCAGTTCCAGTCAGGTAAAATCTTTACCTGAGAGCAAGAAATGATACTGCAGCATGCAAAGTAAAACGTGTGTGACTGCTGCAGGGTGGGGGTGGAGGAAGGTAGAGTCCTTGAAAGCCCATAGATTTATCTTGCTACCTGGCCCATCACCCACAGCTTCGCCTCTGGTCCAAAGGCTGCAGCATCCTGCCCCAGGTTTCTGGCTGCTCTCTGGTGCATATGTGGCTTCACGTGGAGTTGTTCTGAATTGCTCTTGTTGGGAGCCACCACACCAGCCAGCGGCATACTGAAAAACATCATCTGAGATGTCCTGGCTTTTGCAGCATAAGCTTGTTTTAAAAAGCTGTGATTGTGTCAGCAAACAGCCTGTCACTTCCCCCCAGCCTCCTACTGAAACTGTGGCACACCCCATGCTGACCACCCGGCACTAGCAGCAGCCTTTCCTCCAGCTGTTCATGTCCATGTTTCAGGACAGTCCCCTTACCCTTGTGTGGACAGAGTGGGGATCCACAGCAGCTGAAGTTCAGTGAAGCATCTTGGCTTACTACAGCGGAGTTCACTGGGGTTTGGGAACAGGCATTGGAATCTGGACCAGGCAGGATGGGGGTGGGGGGTGCTGGGATTTCCTTTCAAGCTGTGCCAATTGACTTCTGAGGCTTCTCCTCCCCTGACCAGCCAAAACAAGCTGAGGCAACTCTGCTGAGCGATTGCTGCTTCCTGCCCCTTGTGCTGGCACCAGGGAGGAGAGGGATGGGGATGGGGCATCCAGAGCCCAGGGGATGTTTCCTCCCTGTTTCTCTACATGGAGAAGACTCTTCACAAACCCGCAAGAGTAAGGAGGAAGCTGAAGAGCAGCTGTTTCTGTTCATTGGTGGGTTTCTGGCAGAGCATCTGTTTGGGAATTGTGAAGCAGAGTTTCTCTCTGATTCCTGCCCTGCTGTGAGGGAAGGATGAGCTGGGGGAAGATGCAAGCAAAAGCATGGCAGAGAGAGAGAGGCTGGTGCTGCCTACTGATGCTTTTGGTTTTGAGGACTTCACTCTAACACCTTTCTGCAGCTGAGTGGAGCGTGTGCAGGCAAATCACAAGCTCTCACTCAGGCTCAGCCCATCTGCCAAAGGGGCAGGTAGAGGTGCTGGCTCTCTCAAGAAGGGCATCAGCAGGGCATTGCAGCCCAGCTCTGGTGATGCTCTTCTCTGCCCCAGTTACTGATGCAGTGGGTGTCTTTGGAGGTTTCTTCTTGGAGTTGTGGTTTTCACATCAGGGGCACTCATCCCTTTATATCCACACCTCCCTCCTGTGTCACAGAGGAGATTTGAGTGAGGAGTGAGTGGAGCAGCTGCCATGGCCCCCCATGGGACAGAGTGCCCCAGAGGTAGGGGGTGATGCTGCTGGCAGTGCCCAGCTGCACAGGGGACTGAGGAAAAAAAAAAGGTAGAGATAACAGGTCATGCCTATGGTTAAAAATAAGGGCTTAACAAGGTTACAGAAAAACATTTATTGACTAATGTGCCCTGCCTTCAAAAACACCGATGTCTCCTCCGGCTGTGAAGGCAAACATGAAAAAAAGCTTGACAAAGTAATTTCAGAGTTCCCTCTGGTTTTCCTAGTTGGGCACTAGACTGGTCAGCAACCCAACCCGTTGCTGTTCAAACATGATAGTTTCTCACAAGAATTTATTCTAAAGAGAAAAATGTTATTCCAAGCCTCCAATTTAAATATACAGAAATCCAGATGGGAGAAGTGTTAATTTGAATTTACACATGTGACATCACAGCCTGTAGGAGTTAAGGAGAAGGTAGGAAAATATACCTGTACTTTTTTTTTTCTTTTTTTTCTTCTAAATAAATTACATGACCAAGAGTTTGGGGGTTTTTAATGCTGTATTTCAACTGCCATCACTATTCTCAAAAACATATTTAACTATAAGAGATTGTTTAGTAAGATTTGTCTCTATTTCAGAGTTAAGAAGGACAAATTATTTTGTAGCCATGACACATAAGGTAGCCAAGCTCAACCTATGATTATTTCTGCACCTGTCACTGGAACATAGCATAATCAATTTCTAACATTACACATTTTCAATTCCAGATTGCCAGCACTGGTGGCTGAACCCCTCTCATATGGCTGGTGCAACAAGAGCCAGAGTAAGAGCAGGAAAGAACAGAGATGTAGGTGCTCAGGTTATTTAGAACTGCTAGTGGCCTTTGGCCAGGCTGTGCTTTCAGAAGACATCAAAGGTGACTTTCTCCCAGTCCAGGCACCATCTGCTTTTTCCTCCAATGTAAGTTTAAAGTGTTGAGACCATAAAAAGTTTGTTGTATACCCTGGAGTACTTCAGTGCTGGCTACAGGAAACCCAGCTGGATATGGACCACCAGCAGATAAGCCAGCTCCCTGGATGTGATGTGCTGAGAGGCTAATGGGGCAATACATGGGTACCAGCAGTTGTGGGATGACATTAGGGCCTGTCTCAGCATGTAGTCACCCTTGTGACCCCCAGCAAGGACACACAGACAGTTCAGCTCATGGGACAGCAGGACACAGATCCAGAGTACTCCTGGGAAGGTGGGAAGTAGGTTTGAGCCTGGGTGCTGGGACAGACCTGTGCTGGTGCAAGACCAGGTGAGTCAATAGTAAGGATGCTTACACCACAGATTTGCCCACACTAAAAAACCAGAAGTAGGAAAGGTGAAGCTTTAGTGCTGGGGGTGGGACCTGCTGAGGCAATAGGGGAGAGGGGGTTGGGATGGGGCTGTGTGGAAAAACACAGTGGCTAAACTTAGCAGAGAAGTTTCAAGCCCAGTAAATCTCTGACATGTTCATGTGAGTTGCAACCAGGGAGAGTTATTCTCATTACTATTGAGAAATATAATGGTGGAGAACCTTGTAATTTTTTTTTTTTCATTTACTCACTGGTTTGTTTTTCTGTGAATGATAGTAACAGTTCAGCCTGAAAAGTTGATGTAATTGTGAAATTTTTTTCAGCTGTCACAGTTCAAATGCCCCTGCATGTATGCTTTAGAGCAGACTGCCTTAACAGCAGTCTGGCTATACCTAATGCTTTTATATAATATTTTTGTTTAACTCAATTTTTGTAGTGGTACTATGCTAAGCATTTTTTAGTGTTTCTTTTTACAAACATCATTTTCACCTCTTGCTTTTTATAACTGTTTGCAACTTCTATTAAGTCAGATTTTCCAAAAGCAGCAAGCTATGACAAGTCAAGTAGTTAATCAGGGTTTAATAGATATCATTGTGGTCCTCTTTCCTTTGGAGGCTGTTCACCTCTGCCTTTCAGGGATTCACTACAGCAGAGTTGAGCACATCTTCTAATTCACAGACCTTTGAATATTTTCTGTGGAAACTGCAATATATGGCTGAATATACTTTTCTCAGTCAGCTGCCAGGGGTGCTTTAGATGTATCAGTTGAAAACTATGGGTGCTTAGTGAGATAGGCTCTGCATTAGGTTATAGA